GCAGCGGCGATAAGCCGCTCGCCATTGCCCGACTCCCCCCCCCAACTAGCCAGGGCTGGAGGGAATCAGTGGAAGGCCGGCTTTAATTTTCTCTGCTCCCCTCCACCTTCGCCAGCTTTCTGGGGGCAACAGGCGAGGGGCGGCGGCGGCGGCGCTGAGCCACCCCCGACACCCCTTTTTCCCCACTATCCCCCCTTCCTCCCTCTCTCTTTCTTTTTCCCTATCTCCCTTCATTCTTTCCCTCTCTCACTTTCTCCCTTCATCCCCATCGCTTTGACTTCTTCCCCCCCTTCCCTCCCTCCCTGTCTGTCTGGCTTACTGTCTGTCTGTCTATGTCTCCCCTCCTTCCTTCCTTCCTTCCTTCCTTCCTTCCTTCCTTCCTTCCTTCCTTCCTTCCTCTCTTTCTCTAAACCCCTCTATCTATCCATCTACCTATCTATCTACCACCCACCCACTCTAGCTTTCTAGGGCCCATTGTACTCATCCACAATGGGCTTTGCTCCCTAGTCACAAGTTAAGTGTGTTAGCCACCCCTAGAAAGCTTAACTCAGGAGGTGGAAGCATTAGAATAAGAGCAAGAACATGTGGAAACAGTATTAACGTAATAGACTATGAAGACTCTCCCCACTCAGAAAGACCCATATCAATGCAAAGTCTTACATTTTATTTATGAAAACCTCCATTCTCAGAAAACAAATGCCATAGAGGCTAAATACTGAAAAGGTCACATGGAGTGCATGGCTTTTGTGGCAACATAGAGCCTTATTTATTACAAGATCTGTGCTGTCACATCAGAGCTACGTTTTCATGTAACCTAATGTGGGAAAGCACACAAAGTGAACCGTTTTAAAGACAAATTAATGGCTTCTTTTCTTGAGATTTCTGAAAGTATTTGTTTGCCTATGTGCTTGAGTCTTCATAAATCTAAAATAGATTTAAAAAGTTAAACAGAGAGGGGGAGGAGAGGGGGAAGAAAAATTGGCCATAATTATGGAAATAATCTGCAAGTTATGGTAGCCCCCAAGCTTGATTTGTAACGTCGAGAATTGCTAAAGCATGTTCCTTGTTAGAACTACTAATAATATACCTTTGCTACATACTTTGTGAAAATGCACAGTAGTATGTAAACAGAATAAAAAGGTATGGAATGTTTCTTTTCAAGGCATTGCTGCTTATGATTTTCAACAAATAAACCCTTTATAGTTCTTATCTCATTTACCACTGTACATGCTCTGGAAAATGCAGATGCAATTAATGGTTATTCCATATAGGGCTGTGTGTGTATGTGTGATGTAAACCAGTAATGAGTACTGGCACCTTTTGGTGGGGGGGCTCTACCAGGTCTTGAGGGGGTAATTGGTGGAAATTGGTGCAACTTTACATATGAGTACCAGCATTTAAAAACAAACAACAACAACCAGAGAAAGCACAAGTGAAGTCAAAGTATATATTTCATTGTCATCCTCTTCTAAGTGCCCTGCACCCAAAGATGTTGCATACCTCCTACCAATTTCACCTTCATTCAGGAGCTACCACCACGTCTACACAAATCTATTAACTTTGAAAGTCTTATGGTGTTGCCAGATGCCAACCATCTCTCTTAAAACTTCATGCTCGTATTTCAGATATGTGAGTTTCTTTGCTTGGTTTCACCTTTTCTTCGGAGGCAGAACAGTTGCCTTAGTCACAGATCATAGGTTATGCTGGATAGTGACGCTCACACAGGCACTGGGGGCCCCGGCCTTTTTTGCTTTCTTGCTAACCTAAAACAACTTCTCATCCACAATGATAAGCTACTTAACAGTAACATGGACTCTGCTACCAAGGCCTGTAACAAACCAAGATGCCATATAGATCATTTAGATCCTAGCAACACCATGAATGAATCCAGCAACATCAGCCATACCATCTCAGGTTCATAGTCCTGCTCATCCTTTAATGTGATATATGCCATCATGTGTCAGCAATGCCCTTCTACCCTCTACATTGGACAAACACGCCAGTCCATATGACAACGAATAAATGGACATAAGTCTGACATTAGAAACCACAACATTCAGAAACCAGTGGGGGAACATTTTAACCTTCCAGGACATTCAGTTGCTGACCTAAAAGCAGCAATTCTCTTACTAAGGAATTTCAAAGGGAGATTAGAAAGAGAGACTGCTGAATTGCAACTGATAATGAAACTAAAGACAATGCATCCTCCTGGACTGAATCAAGACCTAGGTTTCCAGTCTCATTATCAATGCTGATTTCTCCAAGGCTACTACCCCTCTGCATATCACACCTAATCCAATCACACCTGCTATTGTCATTCACCTGCTATTTTCACTCTGAAATCACTCTGCTCTCCAAGATATAAAGATAGATGGACTTATATTTGAGCTGTATCTGAAGAAGTGAGCAGTGACTCATGAAAGCTCATACCTGTCAAACTCGGTGTCTTGTTTGCCATGAATTACATTTGTTAAGGGGCCTCGAGCGGGTACTGGAATTCCATGGGGGAGGTGCGAGTGGATGTGTGTGAGAATGGCTTTGTTGTAGTGGCTGTGTAACTCTAAGATGCCTCCCTTCCCAGGGATATTCAGCGATGACCTTGGATGCTGTCTGTGCTTACTCTGCAGCAATAGATTATAAAAACAGTAGACGTGCAGGTGGGGGCTGGAACACGTAAAATCTAGGCAGGCTGAATGTGGGCTACGATTGGACTGGACCAAGGGTGGAGCTTGTTTGAACCTTGTATAACTTTGGGCTTTGGCACCAGAACTTTAGTTCTGACACAGAAGTCTTAGCTTGAAACGTCTTTATTCCTCAATAAACAAATCACTGCCAGAGAGTGTTGTTGAGAGTAATTTTGTTCAAGAGTCTGACAATACCCTGCTACAAATTTTGTTAGTCTTTAATTTGCTACTGAACTCTTGCTCTTTTCTAGTATATGAGTGCATTGGGTCACCTAATTATTTCCATTCCTTTATAAGAATGGTACTAGATTTTATAATCACTTCCAGCAGATGTTATATAAGTGAAAATCATAGGCAAGAGATGTATGGAGATTAATTCATTTATCTAGCAAAATTTTCATCATTTCACGGCATAATCCTATATCATGCTGTGAGGAAAGAACAGGCTGTGTGGGCATTAGTGGGTGGCCAGCTCTTGATAACCAGTTTTGCTCATTTAAAATCCTGTTTTATTCCCATGTTCTATTGCTGAGGGAAGCTTAAAGAACATTTAGCTCATATGAGGGACATGATTTTGTTTAACAGGCCACTCTCTGTAGCCTTTGTTTCCCTTTTTTGAAAACCTACTTGTTAGGCAAGCAGAGTATGTGGCTTTGTGGTTCAAACTCATGACATATCTGCTGCAATTTCATAACCAACTTCATTCAGCTATAAAACATCAGTCGCCTTTCAAAGGTGAAGATAC